CTAACTCGATTGCAAGACCAAATTCGACACCTCATTGGAAGAACCAGAAAAGAAAAAGAGACTCCCGTGTTGAAAATAATAATCTTCAACTGGAAAGTCGAAATAAAGTGCCTTGAAATAAAAGCAGCCAAGCTCAACAAAACGAAAATTCTACAAGAATTACAGCAGAGCTCATACAGCATTTCCTCGAATAAAACTTGTTGATCACAAATAAATAATCTGAAGTAAAAATTACGAGGCGCACATACAACGGCCTCTTTGTTTCCTTTCAAGGAAACAGACTCAATCCACTGGCAAACTGAATTAATCATCATTTATGACGATTAACGGCGAATAATCATCAACGGCGATTCACGGGTAAAATGTATTATCATGCCAAATTTCGATTGAAACCCCCGCCCAAAAGAATAAAAAAATACGTTGCTAATTTGTGGGAGCGAAAAACTTAGGGGCATATCCACGCGAATGAAATCTAAAAAAAATAATCTCGAATCCACTGCCGTTCAACATTCACTTTTGAACAAAAGAATCCATCTCGTCGGAATTTAAGCTACTGTACAGCAAAATGGTCCAGCAAATGCCATGGCAAATCTTCTGAACCCAACCAGCACGGGAAAAAGGGCTGCCTACAAATACTTAGGGGGGGAAAATGCAATCGCAACAAAAAATTATGATAACTGTTACCACAACCTTTTATCACTAGGTTCAAAGACGGGAATGGGGGAGGCTATTATAGCCAAATCTGGAAATTGACTAGACTAGTTTTCTTGACTAGCGCGATTTCCTAGTGAACAACTGCTCGGACTTCCCAACGGTCAACGAACGCAGACTGTTTTTCTCTCTCTCTCTCTCTCTTTAGTCACCACCACCACTATCACGAACACCAATCTCTCTACCCATCATCAGGCTTTTTCTTCCGGAAAAGTTGGCAGACTCGAGATGGAATGCGGGTAAATCCCAGCTTTCCGTACCCCAGAAATAAGCGCTTCCGCGGTCCCGACGCTATCATCGCTCCAATAACGATGATTACTCCAGCGACCTCGGCGATTCCAGTCCAGCTCAGCGCGGCTTTCCCGAACGCACAGGGGGATCCATCAAATTTTTGTCATCTTCATGGGAAAAATAAGGAGCCACGTCGGGGTAAAAGGGGGTTCATAAATTTCTTATTGATAGGATGAACAGATGTATCCAAAAAAAAATTGAGGTTTTGCCCAAGTCTGAAACTCAACAATTATTATTTTATTTATTTACTTTGACATCGGATATCAAATCTGAAAAACTTCGTTGGAAAAAATTCACAGAGAACTATTATTTCAAATTTAAATTGAACGGAGCAAGCTCGAGGACTTATGATAGCACAGTATTTTATTTTTTGTTTCAATTTTTAAATCGTTGAAAGATCATAAAATTCTGCTGCGTTGCGTTCTCATGCATGGCGCACAGGAGCTTCATTACCTCGATTTCTAATTCGTCGATTGACAACTTAATGATTTTCTCAAGTATGGTTTTAGATTCATGAGCTTTCTGGTAATGAATGCATCACGAAATTATTTCAAATGGTTGGTAGCATCTAGACTGCCTGCAAATTTACGAAGATGCGATTGCGGTCGATAAACCCTACGTTTTCGCACATCGGTAGTGTTTTACTCAACGATCTTTCATTTTTTGTTTTTATTTCAAGTGGCGAGCAAACAAATCAACATCGTTTGAATAATGTATCAGAAAAAAACCGCTTCGCTTAGTATCAATTACATCCAGCTCTGTCCATTCAAGAAGAATCAACGGCCAGCACAAGACTGGCGAAACTTATGAACTAACCCTCGTACTTATGCTCCTTGGACAGCACAGGAGTGAACAGGGGAATGAGCTGGACAAGAGTTAAGAATGAGACTGACAATGTACATTACATACATTTTCCGTCTATTTATACTTCTGTGAGAACAGACAATACAACGGCAAACGTAAGTACAACTTCTCGCGATTCCCAATGACACGCAGTTCCAGGAAGGAGGAAGTTAAACACCACTCATCCAGCGGGAACGTCCAATGACATTTATTTAGGAAACTATAGGACTTGTCAAGTACCGCATACTGTTTCGATGGGAAGAAGGCTTCTATTTTGATTTTTTTTAATTCAGGGAAAATTTCCAAAATCTTAGAGGCATTTCTGCTGACAGCGTTTGACACATGCTCCAAAATATGAAGAAAAAAAAACGCACAAGCAGCATCGCTATAAGGGCCCGCAAAGAATCCCCATTTTAATCCTGATTTAAAAGCACCTGCCCCTTTAGAAATAAAGGCCCAGATTAATAATTCTGAAGATTACATTTTCACGCAACGAGGTTTTCAAATCAACACCGACAGGAAGTAACAAGGGGGCTTTGGGTACTCCTTTGCCTTCCTGGCAGGATCCAGGAAAGAAAAAGTTTTGTGACGTGATGAGTTTTTAATAACGATGTTTGATCGATACTAGCGAGCAATTCAACAGCCTCAATCCAGCGCGTTACGGTCAATCCTTCGTTTCCCTCACAAACACGAACTTACGCATTTGAAGGCAAGAACAAATTCACCCAACTTATCAAGAAACTTCCACATTTTCACCGTACATTTCACAAGTAATCTCAATATGAGGATCAAAAACTTCACAAAATTAATAAAACGGAAAATTACCACGCCGTTACCCACACAACCATAACAGAAAAGAAAAAAAAAACGACATAGCTTATGATTATAGTTTATTATAATTATGAAACGGATAATTAAATATGATCTGCAGCTCATTTTTTGATTAAGGTTGATTCAACACAACATCGGCTGAAGCAGAGGTGATAAATAAAGGGCTTTGGTCCCTCAATTCAAATTCAACGCATGAAATGCGACCACGAAAGTAAATTTCACTCAAAATCAAAGTTTTGCCGACAATGATTCTCTCCAAAAGCTATACAATTTCAACAAGCAATTAAAATGAGAATTCCTTGATTTCGGCGAAAAACTTTCTGTCCGCTGTCTAAAAAACTGGAAAATATAGCTATACAGTACTGTATTTACCTCCCAAAATCTGTAAGCATTTCATTCAATCCAAAACTGCCCCTTCAACTTTCGAAAAACTAATTATGAAACACTACACGAAGCACAGCTCTGATCACCCTGAGCCACCATCGCATGTTCAAATTCTCCAAGAGACAACAACATAGTAGATTTCGAAGCATGCTCGTATTCATGAGATTCCGGAAAAACAAATATGAAGATGTTTCTTACACCTAAAATGAGTAGCCAGGCTTGAAAAACAAGCGAAGTTATTTTGGCTGATTACACACGTACTGCAATTAATACGGAATTATTTAAATAACTCACACATCCGGCCAAAATTAGAGTACATTGAAACGCAGCTCATAATAACTGAGTTCACCAGAACATAACTTGAAAAAAAAAAAAAAGCGAGAATAATATGTAACGAAGCTTTGGATGCAAAAGTGAGAATTTCGCCTATGCAAACGACGAAAATCCCATGAAATGCGGTTGATTTCGAAACGCGAAGCCAGACCTCTCGTGAAACAACCCGAAGCAGTAGATTAAATTATATAGACCAGCAAAATCTCGAACAATTTTCCGATCACCAATTACAGACGGCTACACACGTGATCGACGGAGTCAGAACGTTCAAAATTACCGAAGAAACTCATCCGAAATGTTCTTCCAAAGCCGAAAGTGCCGTTAAGCATATAAGCTCAATCTTCGAATGTGCCAACCTCAGAAAAAGTTCATTTGTGTTCGCAACACTTTAACTGATCTTGTTGAATACAAGTACAGTGATGTAAAATATACAGTACCTTAACTTATCCCGATTTTCATAAGCCAGGCATCCGGTTCAGTAGGTCTGGATTTCGTTAGCATAGCCGAGATCATTCAAGTTTCAATGCATTGAGGATGTGCTAATGTTGAATTCAAAAGGAAGACGCTACATCATAGGACAAGTAGAGAATTTCATAAAAAGTGCTGTGAGTAAAGGCGGTCGAGAAACTCTGCCAGAAAAGGTTACTATTGCTGCTGAAAATTGTACAACACGAAAACATTAATACTGTACAAGAACAGTGCAGAGTACTTTACTATGCAGTCTGAAAATATGAATCCTCGCTTTAGATTCTCTCACTTCGCCCATTAAACGCATAGGTTTTCTGCAGATAGATGTCACTGGCATTTGTAGAGAAATTTCTCATTTGAATGAATCCCATCGAGGTACAGTATCTCACGATCTCCTGCAATTTCTCGTATGTGAACAATTGATGAAGTGCTCACACGGAACAAATGGGTTTGCAAGAAAATGATAATGGTGATGACTAATGTTCGCATTCATCATATCCGATCACGTATGTGTTTCTTTGGCCAAAGATACACCCTCAAAAATTCGTAATTTTTAATCGCGAGCATAATTTTCAAACACCATGCACACGTAGAATAAAACGTACATGAACCGAATCTTTTTTATTTACAGGCAAAACTTGAGTAGCCCGCCGTGATGGTAGGATTGAACACCCTGTTTCCAGGGGCACAGGGAGCATCTGATTAGCAACGCATTAATAATACAACGAACTAATGGTCTGGTCTAGTAATCAGCCGTGTTTCTCCTTTTCATGTCTCCCCAGAAACTTTCGCAAGCTTTCAGAAATTACGACAGGGACGCAGTTTTCGACGAAATTTAAAAGGGCGAAGCGAAACTTACCAACGCTTCGCTACGAATGGTGGTCATATTAAATATCAATTGCTAACCCCCACACCAAAAATGCAGCACATTCGTCATGCTTCATATAATCGATTAATATGGACGCACAAAGAATAACCCTCGACATAATTCGACTTATACCAGGGCAAAAACGAAGTTTTTCACGAAGAACCTGAGATATGATGTCGCGTAGTGGTGAGCAAACCTCGCTTTCCCACAGACATGAACAAAACATTCCTCCAAAGGAAACGCCATAATTTAAAAATAGAAGAAAACTCACTTTCGCTTTTGGACTGCGGCGGCTTCCTGGTGGCCCAGTTCGTGCGAATGTTGCGGCTCCCTAGCCAGGTGCCATTCATGCCCGCAATCGCCGCCTCGGCGTCCTGCAAAAATTAAATAATCATGGCACATAAAACCACACGAAAACAATGCATCGTCGTCGTCAGGATATGAAATGCTTATTTTATTTATTTATTTATTTATTTTCTACAGAGTTTGGCTCAAATAAACCTACGATCGGAAACAAATTTCTGAATGGCGATATTTCACAATAAATTAATGAGTAATGCTATTTCAGCGACTACGAGACTGGCTTTTCCAGGAGCAACTTTGGGTGTGCATCTCATTAAAATTACTGTGCGAATATGTTCAGTCTTTCTCAAAAATTTTGAAATTTCATGTCAATAAAAATGTCAATGCTCGCCCTTACGAGTGAAACAGAAAGGAAACGTCCGAGAATTATGACAAGTATCCTAAAACGTCCCCAGAAACGACAAGGATCTCCGCCTAGACAGTAATGGAAATTCGGGATCGAATCGCTAATGACTTCACTCGGGAAAATGAAGAAGAATAAAGCATAATCAGACTGGAGAGCCTCGGGGTGATGAGACAAAGTAAAAACGAGATTATTTTGCTGTATGAACACATTTGGATCTTCGTGAAAAGCCCATACTTTAATTTCACGTGGATGACGTGGTAATTTGACTCTATTTCCATTTTTTTTTTTAAGGGAAAGAGCTCATTGGAAATTCATTATAATTTGTCTATAAACTGCTGGCTTTTGCATCTAAATAATTTTTCTCAGATTTATACAGGTATTCAAAAATATATTTTCACTGTTTAGCAACACAAATCTGATATCACTAAACCCTATGATTAGAAAAATTCATGAAGAAACTCCCGTCTTCCAAAATCATCCCTGAAAATTCTTGTTGAAACTGAAAAGATGTTATCTCCCACCCACCCCAAATTCGGGACAGACAATGAAGCCAGTTCCAAATCGTTGAGTGGGCGTAAAGCGGGACATCACCCAGCTTCCTTTAATTGATTTTGGAAACACGTAAAAGAATAAGGGTACGTTTCTTTACTCTCATTCCATTCGTTCCCGCGGTCGCATTCAAACAAAGAAAAGGAAATAAAACAAGACGAACAAGGAGTGGGTGGATCTCTTCGCCCAAAAACGGCGCCACAATAGAAGTGCCACTCACCGTCTTCTTCACGAACGACACAAATCCATAGCCCTTCGACTTCAGCGTCTGGATGTCACGGACGACTCGGCAATCCCTGCGATGCAAAAACAACAGAAGAGGGAAAGAATGTACATCAGTATCATACCTGACAGACTTCGTGCAGAATCGAATATCTTACATATACTATACGCAGGAGAGAGGGGAAACAAATCGCGAATACGCAGAAAAAAAATCGCAACAGAAAGCTGAATCGAAAGACGCGGAGAATAGAGTGCCTAAAATGCGAACTTCAACAATGATTCACATGCCCATGGTTTCATGCGTTTTTTTTCCGCTTGACAAACCAAAGGAATTTTACAAAGGCATTTTTCAGACTTCTTTCTCGAGTCAGGCTCAGTTTGAAGAAGGAACTTCTTCAATGAGTGGGTGCGGAATCAATGAAAACAGTTGAATGGGCTTCGCGAATCCTTTTTTTCTTCTCTTTCTTTCTTTCATGAATCAGATGAGATTCATCTTTTTACTTTGTACCAAACAGTTTTCCAACCGTTTTGACATATATACCCGAAATGAGAATACATTTCTGTCGTCGGATCTCTTACCTCGGAAAATATTCACGCTAATGCCTACCCACCGTAATTACTCAAGTACAAAGTTGAAATTTTTTTTCGAAAAAGTGAGAGAACAAAATGTTGAGCACATCTTACCTGGGTAAAATTTTTTTGTTGAAAACACTTTTGAATGCGCGATGTCAACTTTTTCAGAGAAGATTTTTTAAAATACCGTAGCAGCCTCAATAAAAAGAAGGAAAAGCAAATGACAACCCCTTAAAATAAAGAGCATTTTGCTAAATTGCGTCGCAATGAACAGCCTTGTTGCAGATACATTTACAGTAGCGTACCCCAGAATCTTCGACAGTACAGTAAATCGAGCTCATTTTTTTCAGAGTACAGTAGTTCGAGTGCGAACGAATCAACATGGTCAAGTTAACTCTTCCACGGATCGAGGAAACCTCATCGTCCTATCATTACAAGAAATCCCCTCAAAAAACAGAAAATGCTCCTCGAATCGTGGGATTTAAAGCGAAACACCGTGAAAAATCCACAAAGATGACTGGAAAAGAAGAAGAAGAAGATGGGTTTGTAAGCAGAAGCAAGATCGACATCCACCCCAGCAAGCCACGAGTGGCAAGACAGGAGGCGGCAACAAGAGTTTGATCAAACAAGACGGATAAAGCACACAACGCGGCTTGTCGCTGTCTTTCCCTCGCGGACACGAACAACGTCCCAGGACAGCCATTCCCAGGGATTCTTTGGGTTCACGCACCAAATCGAGCCCGACGTCACATTACACCCGAAAGTTCCGCATTACGAAAAAAAAAACCGATCCCTGTCGCTTCACGTGGTGGCACCCGACACGACACGACACGACTCAGACTCATCCCTACTCGACATTTGTTCTCCTGACGAGAATAATGGATCGTTGGATCTCACTTCTCCGTTTGCGGGGAAATATTCCGATTCACACTCGAAGAATCCAAAAACGAAGTAGCAAAATAATCCGCAGAAAACGCCGATCATCCGAAGTGACGAAAAAATCCCTGACCGCGGAGAAAAATGCTGTCGTGTTAAACAATTTAATTAAATCCACTCCTTCTGTCAGTCGTGCTAAAAATAATTTGCTTTTCAATTCAACCCAAGAGAAACTAAAAAAGTATATCATGTTGAAGCGCTGACGCCTTTTCAAGACTATGTACAGTACTGTAAATCAAAGTGAAGTATTTTCGTGCAACGAATATAAATAAAAAGCACACGTCGGTATGATGCAATACTTTTGGCTCGAAGCAGACTCCAAAGGTAACATCCCAGTGTCTTCCCATTAAAAAAAAATCAAAATTCATCAATATTTGAAGGAAATATCAGGACTTGAGACAACTGAGCCTTTCCTGATGCTTCTTTCTTCAATTTTTGTTTTGAGAAAATACCCGGGGCAAATAAATTCAACACAGGTAAAGTTGGCTTTCACAAGCTTCTAAAGATTCTCAGCATTATTTCTCAACCAAAATAAGCCAAGTAGACCGAATAAGAACAATTAATATTTAAAAGGGGAGTACCGGTATATTTTGCAAGATTCACGTTGAAACCCCAAAAAATGAAGAACCTACTCACCAGTTCATAGCAAAAGATCAACACAAATAAAAACATCCCAAATATATGTTTTAAAATTAGGAAATTTACTTTTATAAGCATCAAAAGAAATTATAATTTGCCGGCTTCAAACGAAGCACTAAAAATAGCAACGAACAAAAGCTGCTGACAACCCAGGACCCAATCTATAATTGAAACGATGGATGTAGCGGTCGCATGCTTGATAACTGCTTTGAATCTATACAGTACAGTATAGTGATTCGGCGAAAATTCAAAATACTAATGAACAAATTTTAAATCTAAGGTTTGTCTCATTGAGAACTAGAACCAATCACGAGATATCCTCGCCTTGAAATAGCTTTACTGATTTTAGTTCCCTCTGAATGATGAAAAAAAGAAATTCCAGGAAATCAAACGCGAATTCCATTTTCCCCGCTCGAGGGCACGGAGAATAAAAATGAAAGAAGAAAAAAAATATAAACCCCTGTCCCCAAAAATAATAACGTACAATTTGATTGAAAGCAATTTCATACGCGATATCCGAACCCTAAACAAAAGCCGCCCGCCGGGCATCAACCGTTTTCCAGAGACAAACGCAAGCCACCCATACCCCCACCCCAGTTGGACAACAAAAAGTCGCGGAAGCCAAGAAAACGGAAGATGAAATCCGCGCCGTCGAATGCAACCAACGAACCAATAGCACAGGGACGGGGACATACTGCAAAAAAAAATAAAAATAAAGACGCGGAAAAAAAAATCAAATCGAAATACATGCGAGCGGAAGAATTCCAGCTTCTCCCAGCTCGGAAATAATGGGAAGAGAAGTGGAAAATCCGCTTCGGGACTAGTGTTCCATTCCTTCCTCTCTTTCTAACCCTCCTCCGTCGGGTTGGCAGTTCTCCTGAGCGGATTTTCGTGTGAAGGAATAAGCTTATTACGAGCAGGAATTACAACCTTGCATGACGAGACTGTGTCGCATGCGGACACCGACGTCGCCTCGTTCCTTCGCTCTCGTCCTCTCCCGGGGATTCTACGCCCCGCGCATTCAATCAACAAATGGCTGAATGAGCCACACGTCAACATCCTCATCTTTCTGCTCCCAAAACGGGAGAAAAAAACTTACAAGTAACAAACGCGGGGCCATCAGGAAGTCATCATATGAAGCACACGTGGTGTGGAGTAATGTACTGTGGTGGTAGAGTGCAGTACTTTCCACAAGGAACTGCGCATAACACTCGATTCATTCACCTCTGACGTCAGCTCTAATCATAAGGAGGTGAAAATATACCTCAACTGATCATCAAATAATTTTTTCGAAAAAAAAAATTCAGTATCGGGAAGTAACGATAAGGAACTTGGCAGTCACTTCAATTTTTCTCAAATGGACATGTTGGTGCAGCTAATGTGAAAACCCCAAATTTTTAATGAAATGATATTGGATTATTCAGTATAACACCAGCTAGCTGAACTTCAAGGGACTAGCTACAAAATTCAAGTTAGGGAGGTTTCCAGTTTGGGAACCTTTGAAGATTTTTGAAGGGGGAAGAAAGAAAAATCACTTGCAATTGTTATTCGTGATATTCTTGGCTATTGGAATGAGTTGAATTGGAGGTGAGGCGTTCATTCGTTTTCCACTTCCTTTCGAAACACATCGTTACATTTTTATTGCTTCCCACTTTACTGCATCGAAAAATAATAGCATTTGAACAGCATTCAAATCCTTCAATAATCCCCACGGTGTTTCAA